GTGCGGAGGCCACCACGGGGATTGCAGGTTGGCTCTGAGCTGAACCCAGTCTTTCAGTGTGTAAAGGCGGCCACGTACGCTTTTTTCTTTAGATTGAAGACGAAACTCAAGTCTCTCGAGCCACCCAGGGTGAACAGGATAACTACGAGATGCACGTTAGAGCTGCAAACATTGTGAGTAGCGCTCTGCTGTTCCCATCGGTGAGCAGCGCATCCGTCAGGTGCTGTTGGGTGCGTTACTGCGCCTGGAGCAGCCTTTCTAACGCTCACAAGGACTGCTGCTAGTGGAGTGTTCTGGTCGTTGGGGTGGCTGGGGAAGGCAGGGTAGCCTGGCTTGTCAGCTGCAGGCTTCTGTCAGAATCCTCATGTAGTGAGGGAGTTTTTACTTTATTCAGAGCTTGGGCTGAAGGAGCAGCTTGGGAGATCTTGTTTTGGAATTGGAGGAAAGCACTGTTTTGATACTCTGTGTGATGTTTTTCTCTGCTACAAGGTCCGAGCTGGGGAGTCCCTGATGAAACTTGTGTCTGACCTGAAGCAGTTCTTGATCCTCAATGATTTCCCCTCTGTGAATGAAGCTATCAACCAGCGCAACCAGCAGCTGAGAAGCTTGCAGGAGGAATGTGACAAGAAATTGATTGCACTGCGGGATGAGATCTCCATTGACCTGTATGAGCTAGAAGAAGAATATTACTCTTCCAGGTACAAATAGGGCAGTGGACTTCTGCCTCATGACTCCATGGGGTGGTTAGTCCAGACAAACAAGTAGTCCTTAAAGTACAGGTCTTGAGAATGTTTCCAACAAAACTTTACTTCTGTTTTTAATTAGGTCCAACTCTTTCTCTGCAACTAAACTGCCTTTTCCTTGTGGATACCCTACAGGGTATGAACGTCATGGGGAACTCTAGGTTCCAACTCTAGGTCCCTGCTTTAGTTGGCTAGATTTGACAGATAATCTGCTTAGGCTTCTTTTGTAATCATTGTAAAAGGACATGAGCTTCCTTGGGAGTATAGACTTCTGTCTGAGTATCCCTGTGGAGCAGCCTCTGCCTCTAGAGAGACTAGGTTGCTGAGCTGGGTCCTAATGTTGGATGACATCACCACGTCCTCATGGTGAGTGCTTTCACAAGTGACCTGGTCACACAGTGTGCCTTTTCCCCTATAGTCCCCGGCCGCCTGGAGTCCTCCGTGGGTGAGCACTTGAAATGAACAGAAGAGACTTGCTTGGTTTCATTGAATAATGAAGTATTGTGATAGGATTTTTTACAAATTGTTACTGATTTGTGGGATTTTTAACATTTTAAAAATACTCTTACTTAGAAAACAGGCTTTAGAGGATTTAGATACTTTATCTTTTTATTTTATCTTCTCTCATGCACTCCAGCACTTCTAGTTGATGATGCAGTAAATGAAAGTGGGAGAAAACAACTGAGAACCTGATTTCGGCTGCACTGTCCAAGCTAAGCAAAGTCAGTGCAATAATGCTAGGAATTCTAAACAAAGATGTAGCTTTTAAAAACCTTACTTAAAAATTCATTGCCCAGGATTTCTATTTTTCCCTTTCCTTTCTTTCTAAAAATGCTGAATGCCTGTAACCCCAACTAAGTCAACTAAACCTTAATTGCTCACTATTTTTGGAAGTTAGGCCATTGGTTTTGAGTAATATATGTATTTTAAGAGTAAAAAGATGATATGACATGGCTTAAGAACTGCTATGACATTGGAAGAGAACTAGATGTAGGTGTTTAGAGTTGTTTTTATAAACAACTCTATGAGTAAAGTTTTACTTTACTGATTCTTGGGTGGAGGGGCAGCAAGAGATCCTAGAAACAGCACAGCAAGGAAGAGCAACAGTCGCAAACCCACACACCAGCCCAGGCTCTGATGGGTCAGGGGTGCACACCCGACACAGGCTGCATCCACACGAGAGTGAGCTGTATCCCGAGTGACACGCTGTGGGTGATAGTGCCTCACAGGTGCCAGATGTGCTTCCTTCATGCTGTCACCAGACTGCCACTGCTGTGTGTCAGTAGCTTTGACTTTTGGCCTAAGGGGTTGTGGCCGTGCTGGCGTGGTCTGTTCACCTGCCTGGCACCAGGTGCCGTGTAAAGCGACCCTTCATAATAGAACTAGTGTCTAAGAACAAGTGTTGGCATACACCAAATGGATTTGCCTTTGTGCTCGCTCTTGTAAGAGTGGTCAGGAGGTGAGGAAACTCGGCAGCTCTGCACAGCTGTGATCTGAAACGTGTTACCATGTAGCACTTAGTCATTTGCTTTTAGCACTTATTCCCTTCCTGTGCTCTTTCCAGTCTTCTTCTGCACCAAAGAAATTGTGTGTGTGTAAATACAGAAATAGTAATTTATTCAAAGTCTTTTTATAATTGGAGTACTAAGATATTTTTAATGGAACTTTTAATGTCTAATGTGGGGAAAAGGGGTTTCTGTTGTGTCACGTAGTTGTAGAGTGATAATCATGTTCAAATGGCTGGAGTAGCTGGTTTGCCCACAGACATGCATTCTGTGCAGTCCTGGGAGCGCAGCTGTGGTTACCTCTCAGCGCCATCCGTCACTTCCTCATGGGTCCTGATCCCATGGGCTCTCATTAAGAGGCATGCAGTCCCATGAGGCCCGGCCATGGGTTGCACACAGCCATCCTGCCAGCCTTTCTCCCATGTTCTAGTGCCCTTGAAGGTCACTGGTTGGTTGATTGTAGGTTGCTCCTCTAGGGGAGGCTGCAGCAAAGTGAGCTCCCTGCAGCTGCACACCTCCAAGAGCTGCCCCAGGCTGCAGAGCTTTGGTCTCTGTGCTCTGTTCCTGACCACTGTGACAAGTCTGTGGAAGGAAGCATCTCCCTCCTGTCCAGTTCTGTCACTGTGCTAACGGGGCTTAGAAGGCAGGCCTTTGCCCATAGTGAGCAACTAACGGGACACGTTGCAGTTGTAGGGCCAGGTTTCACTGCTAGGCTTTTATTGCATACGTGAGGGTTTTGATGAGGAGACCTGAAAGCAGGTCTTTGAAACTTAAAGATTGTTCTGAAGGAATCTTTGCTTTCAGTCCCTGTGCTCAAGCAGTTTCCCAGAGATGTTTCTCAGCAGTTTCTCTGCACATAGACCTGGCTGCATGCCTCGAGGGGAGTAGTGAAGTCCCTTCCATGCACTGAGAAGCCCTCAGTCAAAGGACAGAGTAGCAGTGGGCTACGGTGAGCAGTAGCTGCTTGTTGACCCTAACTTTTGAGGAGCATAAGGTGAGAGGTGAAGCTTAGACTTTCGGAACTGTTCTATCTCAAGTACCAGGAGAAGTGCTTATGCTTTTGACGGAGCTAAAACGTTGTTAGGAACTCCTCTGCCCATATGGGCTGGATGCTGTGACCAGGTTCTCCTTGGAAACCCTGGCCTGAGGTCTAAGACTGATAGAAGAGAAGTTGTAGTTCTGGTCAGGTCCTGAAGGTCTTTGCTAGTTAAACCCAATTGCACTGTGTTTGGGGGCTGTAGGGAAGGGTGATCTTCCAAGGGATTTTACAAAGGCTCCAGATAAAAAACCTGCATCCACTGCCTTCTCACTTCTACTGCAAGCCCAGCGGGTGATGCTGCCAGAAAAGAGCTCAGAGGTAGATGCTTGCAACTCGTGCTTTGTGTGCTTATTCCCCAAAGCAGTAACTCCAAGCCCAGCTTGCCTTCTCTCATCCTCAACCCCAAACCTGCATTTATGTTCCATTGCTCCCTTCTCTGGGACCATGGAATCTGTCTTGAGTGTGGGGTTAGATTTCAGCACGTTTTATGCTTGTGCATTTTGAAGTGTCTCATATTTCTACACTTAAAATATTTCCTGAAGCATCTATTCAAGTCCATACATTAAAAATGTAAATAAAGCTGCAACAACAGAATCACTTGACCCATTGGGTTTGTTTTACTCTGAACACAAGCTGCTTTCTGCTCTAGCACTCATTTTGTCTTGGCTGTCTCCTGTGTGTGCAGCTCCTTCCAGGAATTTGTTCTGGTTTTGTTGCGGTTTCTTCCATAATTTTCCTTTTTAGTTTTGGCCTTTCCACCTTGTGTTTTTCTCAGAGCACAGACCAGCATTAGCCAGTTCTGTACAAAACATCCCTTCCCACAGTGCTGGCTCACCCAGCTCCACAGTCTGCAGTGGGCAAACCCAGCACCTGCTTTTAGCAGTGCCATTGTCTCAGGTTCTGCTGAATAGGAGCTCTCGGTACCTTGTGGGCTGGGCAGCTTCGAGGGAAGACCCAGAGCTGCTGCAGAGCTTTTCCAAAGAGGTGTGCATTGGTTCCTTCTGTGTCATGACAGGGACAGGCCCTAAGCAAATGGTGCTAGGGGTGTTTTCTGTACTGAAATTTAGAGCAGGATTTGTATTTTTTTCCTCACTTAGGTTGTGATCTAATTCCAAGTAAAATAATGATGAGTGAGTTCCTTGCCTCACTCAGATCAGTAGCAGGATTCCTATGGGATGCCTGGACTTCAGTCCATGCATTTTCAGGGGCTTGGAGCATCTGGATTGGAGTTGAGCTCTGTTTCAGTTTGCAGCAACAGTTGTGTCTGTGAAGTTCCCCCGATCTCACCAGACCCATCAGGTTCAAGACCAGCCCTGAGCCGGTGTCCTAGGGAAGGCAGGTGTCACAAGGCTTGTGATGAATTCCTGCGCACGGGCCCGGCATCTAGGAGCTGTGTCTTGCCATTTTCTTAATGCTTCGCTTTTGTGGTGCTCTCCCCCCCGCCCCTCCCCTCCTCTCTTACTGCACTGCTCTCTCTCCTTACTCGGTTGTTTGTTCTGTAAAGCTACAGTCTGTGTGACAGCAGCGACCTCCCGCTGTGCGAAGCCTACTGGAGACAAGACCTTGCCACACTGTCTCCCGAAAGTCTCTCCATGCCCCTGC